TGTACGAAAAGTATGGCGACAAGGGCTTCGCCGTGTTGGGCTTCCCTTGCAATCAGTTCGGCAAGCAGGAACCAGGCTCGGCCGAAGAGATCCGTGAGTTCTGCACCGATCGCTACGACGTGACGTTCCCAATGTTCGAGAAGATCGAAGTCAACGGCGACGACACGGCTCCGCTGTACACCAAGCTGAAGAGCTTCGAAGCCGACCCCGGCGACGTGAAGTGGAACTTCGAGAAGTTCCTGATCGGCAAAGATGGTGAAGTGGTCGCTCGCTTCCGCACCCGCGTCGAACCTGACGACGCGATGGTGGTTCAGTCGATTGAATCGGAACTGAAGAAGAAGTAGTCGAAATTCCACTCGACTACGAAGTACCCATGAAAAGCCGCTGGCGCAAGTCGGCGGCTTTTTTTCATAGCGGCCCACGGCGGCCTAGATTGTGATAATAATAGGGACGTTCCCCCGCTTCGTTCTCCCCCGCTGGAAGGCCGTACGTTTTGCCTGAATCGACTCTTCAAAAGCAATTGAAAAAGGACCAGCCGTTCGAATCGCTCGAACTGGAGACCTTTCTCAACTTGCTGCGCACGCACAACATGATCGCGGCCGCTCCTGGTCGCCTGATGAAGCGGCACAGCTTGTCCAGCGCTCAGTACAACATCCTGAAAATCCTCGACTCGCATCATGGGGAAGGGCTGCCGTGCTTAGAGATCGTGCAGCAGATGGTGACCAGGGTTCCCGATATTACCCGGTTAGTCGATCGCCTGGCCGATGCCCAGTTGGTGGAACGTAACCGCAGCGAAAGCGACCGCCGCGTGGTGATGATCACCATTACCCCCAAAGGTCGCGAATTGGTCGAAACGATCCGCGAACCACTGCTCGACATCCATAAGCAAAACCTGGGGCATATGACCGAAGAAGAGCTCTCGCAGCTGAATCAACTACTGGTGAAAGCTCGTATCCGAGCAGAAGCCGCCCCCTTGAGCGACGGCTCGGAATGAGCCCGTTTCCTACGTAGGGCCCGCGGGTCGTAAATCGGGAGCCAGGCGTTCGACACGCGATACGCAGGCCCGACCATCCACCAACCGGAACAAGCAACAACGACTTAAAACGATGTGTGGAATAGCTGGGGCATTTTGGACCGATCCGCAGCACGAAGTGAGCGAGGAAGTACTTCGGCGGATGACCGATTCGCTGGCACATCGTGGGCCGGACGACTCGGGGATCTTCCATCGTTTTCCGCACGCACATGGTCCATACGGCACGGTGCCTGGCATTGGCTTGGGGCACCGCCGACTATCGATCATCGACCTCTCTGGCGGGCATCAACCGCTGGCCAATGAAGACCAAACCGTGTGGACGGCGTTCAACGGCGAGATCTTCAACTTCCAGTCACTGCGTGCCCGGCTGGAAGGGGCAGGGCACACCTTTCAAACGCACTGCGATACCGAAGTCATCGTGCACCTCTTTGAAGATGAAGGGGTCGACGCGTTCTCGCACTTCAACGGCATGTTTGCCATCGCACTGTGGGACCAGCGGCATCGACGGATTGTGCTCGCGCGAGATCGCCTCGGGCAAAAGCCGCTGTACTACTGCGTACACGACGATCGATTGCTCTTCGCCAGCGAACTGAAAGCGATTCTGCAAGTCCCTGGTGTTTCGCGGGAAGTCGACCCTGGAGCGATCGATGCGTATCTGACCTATCAATACGTGCCACATCCGCGAACGATTTTCAAAGGCATCCGCAAACTGCCGCCGGGATGTTACCTGACGTTCGACGGAAAGAAGCTGGAGGTGGCCAGTTATTGGAACCCTGACTTCAGCCGAGAAACGGCGATCAGCTTGGACGATGCCAAAAGCGAACTGATCCGGCTGTTCACCGACTCGGTCAAATTGCGGCTGCAATCGGACGTTCCGCTGGGAGCATTCCTTTCCGGCGGGATCGATTCGTCGTTGGTGGTCGCGACGATGAAACAACTGACCGATCAACCGGTAAAGACGTTTTCGATTGGCTTCCCCCAAAAGGAATACGACGAAACAAGCTACGCCAAGCAAGTGGCCGAGCACCTGGGGACCGAACATCACGAGTTTCAAGTCACCCCTGACG